GGGGGGGGAGGAAGCCATGAAATTGATTGCAGTGACTTTGGTGGGAGAACTGGCCTGTTGATATTTTGGACTTCAGCTCCCAGCAAGTCCTGCCAGCAGGCCTGATGATAAGGGTTTAGAAGAGCTCCTGTCTAAAATATTTGAAGGTTCAAAGGTTTGTACCCCTCCTGTCTGTGACAGACATTCTGTTTCAGTACTGAAATATAAGGGGTGGCTGGGGAGCTTTGCTAATTGGTCTGACTTCGCCTAACCATCACTAATTTTCATTCTCTCTCTCTCTCTGTCTCCCTCTCCCACCCCAGATGATCCAGACAAGCCGGACACTAATAGAGTCTGCTGATGCAGTTCATGCCAAGATTATTCAGGTGCAACAAGCAGGTAAGGTGCTGGCAGACTGTCTGCCAACCTTCTCCCTCTTGACCCCCTCTTGTTGCAGGTTCTCCACTTTCACTTCTCTGGATTTGGGGGGCTTCATCTCCCAGATTCACTAGCCAGTGGCCGTGCTGGATGGATCTTTTGGGTGTTGATGTCTGAAACAGCTAAAAGACCCAAATCTAAGAACTGCCACTGTTTGTCTTTCAACCCCAAATCCTGCTGTTCTGTGCTCATTTATCTGGGAGCAAAGCAGTATTGCACACAATGAGACCAAGGGCTAGTCGTTTTAGATTTAATTTAGATCTACAGTAGTTTATATGTGAAGGCAAGTCTTAAACATTTGTGTAAGTGGGGTAGGATCATCAACATGACTCGTATTTACATTCAGCACTTACTATGCTTAGTGGCAGGCTTACGTTTTTAGAGCCACTGAAGCTTGGACTATTATGGGGCCCCTTTTGCAACCAGTAATGAGGTCTGGATAACCACTGCTATCTTCTTCAATGGAGTGGTTCCATGACAGATCACCACAATTTTTAAAAACATGTGGATTAAAGTTGTGTCTGGGGGCCTATTGGGGATTAGGGCCCCTGAAGCTTAACCTTCATTAGTTTCATAGTAAATCCACCCCTGACTACAGTGTATGTTTCTTTTCAGGGATTTGCTTTCCCCCAAGTTGTTCAGGGTTCTTCCCATCAGCTTTGTAGCTGGGGAGGAGAATGGGGTGGAGTGGATAATATCAGTAATTTGGAGTAGAGGTGTTGAGGGTATAGCCTGAGGAGACGGGTGTAGCATGAGTTACAGTATATACTTTGTGTAAAATCTGGAGGTCTAGATGGAGACATATGGTAGTCAAGTTTGCATTTGACTGGCAAACAAGAGGTTCCCTCACCTGTCCTAAAATGACATGTGGATAGTGAGAACTTTGTTGAAATTTGGGTGGCAAAGTTTTTGGAGGTGGAAGTAACAGTAAGAATTCCTACAGGCAAGAATGGGAAATATTTTGTACCCAGATTGGGAAGAGGCTCAAAAACTGTTACAAGAGAGACATCATTACTCTATGTGTAGAAGTACTGAGTTATTTTTGGACTACATGTCCCATCAGCCCCAGACCCTAGAGTGTCAGGAATTATTAAATCTATGATTCCATATCCTGAAGACACCTGGCTGTTTACCCCTCCTCTACAGACCCACATCATGCTTTTGTCCCACTGTTGCTTTCGGTCAAAGCCATTTTGAAGGGTTCAAAAATTTGCAGAATCTGTTTCCAGGGACCCCTGTTAGGAAGAACATGGACTCCCATGGGCAATGGTGCATCTCTTATACCACCTCTGGCATGAGAGTGAGGAAACGAGGTTGTGCCTCTAACGTTGAGTGATAAAATCCAACCTTGACCAGAAGGCAGCAGGCTTGTGAGATTTTCCACTTTGCCTCTTCTCCAGGAATGGGTTTTCATAAGGAGCTGCATCGCCTGGAGGCAAAGGAGGGGCTGAAAGGGCGGAAGCTGCAGAAGGCCCTGGAGAGTTTTGCTTGGAACATCACTGTCCTCAAGGTAATGTGGGGCAGCATTTGCGGGGAGACACCTTTGCAAGGGACACCGTAAAACAGAGGTGTAAATACCTCTGAGCCATGCACAGATATGCCTGTCTGTCTGCCATAAAACCATTTCTGGCAAAAAGAAAAGAGAAACAAAAAAATGAAGAAGACAATGTGGCACCTTAAAGACTAACTGCTATACAGTGGTGCCTCGCATAGCGAGGTTAATCCGTTCCGGATTAACCTTCGCTATAGCGAAACATCGCTGAACGGGACAGGGAAAGCCATTGGAACGCATTAAACATCGTTTAATGCGTTCCAATAGGCTCCTTTACTCACCGTTCAGCGAAGTTTCCTATGGCCGGCAGCCATTTTCGCGCCCTCGTTAAGCGAGGGGAGGGCGTGAAAACGCTGCACGCGGCCATTTTGGGGCTTCCGGCGGCCATTTTGTCCGCCGAACAGCTGATCGTCGGGCTTCGTTTTGCGAAGATCGGTAAGCGAAACGCTTACCGATCTTCGCAAAGCGAGTTTCACCCTATCTAAAAGTCATTGAGCGATCGCATTAGCGATCCCAAAAAAGGGATCGCTATGCGATTTCGTCGTTGTACGGTGCGCTCGTTAAGTGAGGCACCACTGTATTTTAAAACGTGAGCTTTCATAGGCAATTCCACTTCTTCAGACCTAGGAGGCCATCTGTCTATCATTTCCTCCACACCATAAATAGCTTTACAGTTTCTCACACTGTGAAACTGTGAAACTTCTCACACAAAGTGGTATCTTCTTTCCCACGACATAAAAGTCAGCTGGTGTGTGTGTGTTTATTTGGAAACAGCAGTCAAGATAAAGATTAATGACCCCTTTCTTGTACTCAGCCATACTGATTCAGACCCTCCCTGGATTATTACGTAGAAAAATCACTCAACTAGACCCACGAGTTACGTCCAGGTGGAAGTGGCCCTAAAGTCTTTGCCATTGTCAAGCTAACGTGGTCATTGGGTGATTAAGCACTGCCACCTAGCGGGCAGTGGGTGTTCATATGTTTATTGTTACTAAGGTGTTGTGAGAGAGGGTGTGATGGATTGTGGATTGAAGGAATTGTTTCAGGATCTTCTAGTCACTTCATTTGGGTTTGTTGGAACTGAGGCAGCCCACTTCGTGCAGAGATCTTCCATATTTTGGAATGGACAGAAGGATCCCCCCCCCCGAATGTTCATCCTGCCCTTCACAGCACTGCATGTACGCTAATGAGACTGAAAAAGCTGTGTGGATAGGAAAGGCACCATTCAGTTGAGTAAGCCATTTTTAAAATCCTTTTTAAAAAATATTTTAATCCAATTTTAAATTTGCAGTAAAGCACTTTTTTTTAACCCACGATCATGTAATTACTTTAATGACATTTTATCAATGAGTACATCAAAAGTGTTTCAGTACTAATTAAAAGATGGGAAAACAAGCATGGCGATCTAATGGCACCAACTTTAAAAAAAAAAAAAATCAATGCTTTAATTTCTGCTAAAATGCTTTTTATTCAAAGTGCGTTTATTGCAATATTTTACTTTTCTGAAAATTAAATAATTAAGGAAGAGAGCATTTTAGAAAATTAAAAGCTCAATTAATAGCGCCGTCTAATACATGTTTTACTCAGAGGGTAGTGCCATTGAGCTCACAGAGTTTTATTCCCACATTGACGGGTAGAAGATTGCAGCTTTAAAAAGAATTAAAACACTAATAAAATGCACTAACGAGAAAAATAGTAGTGAAAGTGTGCCAAAATTAGATATTTTGTGAAAGGATGCTGTAACTATCCTAACTAATACAGTGGCGTCTTGACTTACGAACCGCTCTCATAGGAATATATGGACTCGACTTACGAACTTTGATTCGAGTTACGAACTCTTTTTTTCCCTTTTTTCTCTTTTTTCCCTAAGTCATCTTAGGTTAAAAGGAAAAAAGAAAAAATATCCCCCTCTAGTGGCAGGAGGCGGAATAGCAGCTTCCCATTAGTTTCTATGGACGAAAAGAGCAGATACGGATTAAATGGTTTTCAATGCATTCCTATGGGAAATGCAGATTCGATTTACGAACTTTTCGACCTGAGAACTGCCTTCCAATACAGATTAAGTTCGTAAGTCGAGACCCCACTGTAATAATATTTGTGCACTCTCAACTCAATTATGGTTTACGGGCAACCCTTTTCAGGGCTCTCTAGGTAGGGAGTACTTCGAAGTTATTTGCCATTCCTTTCTTCCAAGGAGTGCCCTGGGACTGCAGCTTGCCCAAGGCCACACAGGCTGGCTCTTTTCCTAGGAAGCACAGTGGGGAATCAAACTCCCAACCTCTGGTTCTGCAGCCAAGTACATAAACCACTGAGCTATCCAGCCAGGTCAACGGCTCAAACTACATGTATTAAACAGTTCCAAAGCGTAGCACTAAGATGACTTCACCTGTGAATATATCACAACTGTTCAATTATTTTCAGAAAAGCTGGAATTGCCATTGTCTGGAGGTGGGAGGAAAACAACACAACAATCACAGGGAAAACAACAATATGATAGTGATGTTTCGTGACTGGCCTGTGAAACAAGTGAACAAAATATGGCAGTCACAGCTGGTGCGATTGCACTATATAATAAAGTGATTTCCAAGTGTTAAGGCTTTTAACATCCCATGATGGTACTTCTCTGCTCATTGAATCCTTGCCCTACAGAGGTGAGGAGCCTTTGATCATCCAGATGTTTTGGAGCAACTCCCGTAATCTCTTCCCACTGGCCCTACTATCCGGGGCTTCTGGGAGTTGGAAGTTACAAATCTCTTGAGGGCCAAAGCTTCCCACACACATTATAGAAGTTCTCTTTAAGTTTCCTTGATGAAGTAGTGAGGACTATAATCTCTGAGTCCAGTTGGGCTTAGAAGGGAGGTGCTGGGGTGGAACTGAAAATCTCATTCCCAGTTGCATCTGGGAAGAACATCTTGGATGCACAGCTCTAGGTGCTACCAGTCAAAATATATTGGACAGCTATTCTGTCCCTTCCCCCATAAAGGGGAAATGGAAGAAGTAGTAGGAGAACATGGTGGGCCAGTCAGTGGAAGATAGTCTCACAGGGGGACCCACAGCTCCTAAAATTCTCTGAAGAGGCTCTGAGTTTGCTAAAGAAAAGCTTTGCATGAAAGCACCTCTTGTCTCTTAACAGTTTTGTACCCATTTCTTTTCCGTCTTTGAGTCTCCGAAAATCTTTCCTGATCTTCCAACTCTTCCTTTCTCCACAGGGCCAGGCTGATCTGCTCAAACACTCCAAAGCAGAAGCTCTAGATACACTGTGGCAGATCCACAACGCCGCCCAGTCTTGTGGCATTGGGCAGAACGGAGCTGCCTCTCCGGACCTCTTCCGCAACCGAACTGTTCTTGATCCCATCCCTGAAACAGAAGGGCCGAGTGATGTGGGATCCTGCTGACTCAGGATGGCTGAGACCAAAGGGGGGGGCAGCGCGAAAGGACTTGCGGTCACAACGTGGGCCCTGCAGAGAAGATGAGATGTGATGAATTTGAAACAGGAAAGTCACATACAGAGCACAGTGTTGCTCCATAGCTGGGACGCAAAGGAGGGCATGGCACTCAATTTCCACATCTTTATGTGTGTAATAGCTAGGACTTCCAGATTCCTGATTTTGGATGGTGGTAACAGATTTTACTCTGCGAGGGTAGACTCTAGGAGGAAACTGCCCCTAGTGAGTCAAGCTAGAGACTCTCATTCACTTCAGCCTGACAGTCTGTAGCAAGGATTCTGGAAAGTTCACTTTTCAGTGGGTACATTTCCAGATCCTTCATGGCTATTCTTAGCTTGGCTGGGGATTCTGGGAGCTGTAGTCTGGAATAGTAAGTAGTTCTGCTGCTTACAGCATGGTGTAACCAGCAGAAGCTGGATACCTAATTCCTTGGGCATGCAAGGACTGACCTGACCTGGAAAATGTTTACAGAAGTTTAGCAGGTTATCAGCTGGCCGTCTGCTGGCGAAATATTAGGAGGCTTCACTAGTTAAACTCTTGTAGCTCCCTCCTCCCAACCAGAACCTAGTGGTGCCATGGAGGCTGCATCCTGCCAGGTGTTTCCCAGGATTCTTGATTCGAGATGTACTGCAAAGGCAGGTCTGAAGAGCCGCTGCATGGAATATCCTCCTGGCAGAGCTGCAACCAACAGTTTTGGTGCCTGGGGCTCCACTGACCTGTTGGTTAGACTTGGATCCCTTGAGATCCACATACACAGAGGGTGGGTGGAGGAATGGGGAGCAACGCCTGGGATTGAATGGGCAGCAGCCATAGTAATGCCACACGAAGCCTGCCTGGTTTGTGTGTACTCCTTCCTGTGGAACAGTAGCTGGAGGGGGTAGAAGTGCTCAGAGAAGGCAGAGCTGTGCCTTTCCAGCACACCACTTCTTCTTCTTCTTCTTCTTCTTCTTCTTCTTCTTCTTCTTCTTCTTCTTCTTCTTCTTCTTCTTCTTCTCCTTCTTCTCCTTCTTCTCCTTCTTCTTCTTCTGCTTTCTCCTCCTCCTCCTCTTCTTCTTCTTCTTCTTCTTCTTCTTTTTCTTTTTGCACCCTCTAATGTACAGCACCTTGGGTTGGTCACCCTGTCCTATTATGGCTCTCCCCCCCCCCGGTGTAGATGTAAAAAAACATTTGCTCCCCTCTGCCTAAGACCTTTTGTACTGCAACCCCAGCCTGCCTTTACCATTGGCCATGCTGTTTGGGACTGGTGGGAGCTGCGGGCCAAGACACCTGGAAGGCCCAAGCTTCCCTGCAGTCTGGTGGGCTGCTGTATCTCATAGCAACAACTGGAAAAGGGATGTTGTTTTTTTAAATGTCTTGCCCTGGCCCATTTGAATAGCCTCTCTCTTTCCATTTTTTAAATCTAATTCACTAGAGCAGGAGCAAGATCAAGTGGGCCATGCAAATGTAGTATTAGGAAATGATTGCAACATGACAGCAAAACAAGGCTCATTTATCCACTGTAGGGGCCTCCATCAGACCAGGTTGTCTGTAAAGGAAGGTGAACCTTAGGTGGTAGCCAATCTCTTCTGTCTACAACTCCCAGTGTTCCCAACCTTAGCTGTGCCAGTTAGGAATTATGGCCAATGTAGTCCAATAATATCTCATGACTGAAGGTAACGAAACACTGCGCTGAAAGAAAAAAGCTTTACAGTTTGTCTGCTCCTTCATATTATCCAGATCCTAGCTAGAGGTGAAAGGAGGTGAAGGGAGGGGTTTGAAAATTTCCTAAAATATGTTTATAATAGTTCAAATGCTGTGTTCTCTTGACTAGGTTTTTCCACAGTGTTCCCAGCATTAGAATAGTATTGGATTAAGTTCTTTTTCTTTTGTTAGGCAAAAAACAAACAAACACCCAAACAAACAAACAGAAGAACAATAGGCTATGAAATCATGACTCCCACAATACTCTGAAGATCTGTTACGGTCATAGATCAGCATTGATTCCAAACTTAAAAACATAAAGTTTTTAAGTTTGGAATTATGACCACTCTAGGGACCGCCTAGAGTGGTCATAACGACCAAATAGGCGGGATATAAATAGAATAAATAAAATAAATATTAAACTAGCATTTCTCCAATTTTATTCTAGATTGCCCCCCCTTTTTTTTTTTTACAAAAGACAGTATAAATATCCTCAAATGATCCTGAGCAAATTGATACTCAAGTGGTACTTGAACAATTATGCCCAGTCCTTGGGGTCCCTTGAAAATAAGTTCAAAGAGGATGGGGTTGGGGGGAGGGAAGAGTTACTATTCAAAACGTCAAATTTTATAATTTATGTCAAGCTCTGGATTTGCTCAAAACTCTGTTTCCAGTTCCAAATGCCACTCTCCATCTCGCTTTCTCTTTGGGATGGCTTGGACGGGAAGGGAAATTTCCCATACTCTTTGGCTGCTCTCTTCTTGCCAGTCCTGGAAGGCTTGCTGTAGAATTGAGAGGGCTGAATTCTGATGACAATAAAACTGGAATGTCTCTTTCATTCTCTTGGTGTCTTTCCACCATAGTCAGATTGACCTCAGAACTCTTACGTTTGCACCGCACGTGAAAAGCTATTAAAGAGCTGCTCAAGAATAGCCACTGATCTGAACCATGGGATTCTAAAGATTCTCCTTCTTGGTGGGGAACGTATGGCTGTCCAGAGACTGTACTGTTAGCTGCCACTCCCACAATGCCTTACCCTGGTTGGATGCTGAAGGGGAGCATACGCTAAAACAACCAAGGGGCTGAGCATGCCTCACCTCTGCTGTACAGTTTTTACAAATATATACTTTGAGGGTAAAGAAGGAGGAACCTGTAATTAAACTGATTTCGAAATTATATTAAGTAAAAGGATTGCTTTAGAGAGAGCAGCCAATGAAGGTTCTTCATTTGTTCTCCTTAAAGCACCAGGTTCCACAGGGATGTCTGTCATTATTTTTCCTGCCATCCAAACAACCTTCTCATAAGCCCCGCTTAGTATTGTGCTTTTTCTGCAACTTCCCGCTCCTTATCCTTCCTGAAAGCAAGGTTTATTTTTCATTCGCTTTGTAGAGGGAGGTGGAGTTCAGCACTCTTGCACTTCCTGCTTGAAGTTGATATCTGTGGTGAGAGCCTCCTAGTCAGACGCTCTCAATCAGCACTTAAAAGAAAACAAAACAGCTCCAGCACTTCTAGAACTGGATTTATTTAAGAGAAGAGAAGTGAAGTGGGTTCTTAAAGAGACACAAATTTTAATTGATTCTGTGTTTACCAGGTAGCAGAAAGAAGGGTGTTAAAATGCTCTGTCTGGAACGAGCCTTTGGTACATTATGGAGGGATGATGTTGAGTGAGGTCTTACAAGGCAGCCTAGACAAAGAAGGGGAGCACAGTGGGATTCTCCTTCCCTGAGTAGAGTCTGTCACTTTCAAATTAAAAACTTTTGACTAATACAAAAGCAAGGAACTTAATGGGAATGTAAGCTGAACAACAGGGAAGGGGGTCCGTATCTCAGTGGAATGGCTCCTTCTCTGATGCTTAGGTTACATCAATGTCAAGAAAAGCTCCCCCCCCTGAAAGAGTTTCTACAATTCTGTTTTTAACATTAGCAAAGCACTTGCTTTGCTTTGCATACTTGATGCGCCCTCCATGTAGAAGTCCCAAAGGAAAGGATTGTATAACAGGCAGTAGGCAAAGATTTTGGCATGGGCCCTTGGAAAGCTCCTGTGGTCAAGGAAGATAATACTGTACTGTACTACGTTATTTCTGAGTGGGGAAATTGGATATGTCTGAGAACCAGATTTGGCTTCCTGCCCCAAGACTCCACACAGCAGCTCAAGGTGTGGTATACATGGTTCTTCCAATTTTTGGCTTCAAAACAATGCCATGATGGCTCTGAGGTTAAGTTAGGCCTAGATACAGTGCCTGGCCCAAGATTGCAGAGTGAGCTTTTTATGACTGAGTGTGAGCTAAAACCTGGTTTTCACCAACCCTAGTCTACTACTTTCTCATCCACGACCCATCTTCTGCAAAAATGCAACCTTAGGGTTCTATCGGATACGTTGTCGACCACATTTTCCATGCAAGCAAAGCAACAAGAAAGCGCATCATGCAGAGCCCCAACCCGTTATAAACAAACATGCATCCTAAGGACAACATTCATGCTGAGCTGAACAAAGTTTTGGATATGGCTTTCAGATTTCCAGAAATCCAAATTATATCAACTGCTTTGGGACTGATAATGTGATCAGAGGTGGTAGGGAAAGGGATGGGATCTAATGCTTCCCTCCCCACCAAAGTCCTGAGAGAAATCCTTTGCTGGAAACTAGGCTCGACACTGGAAGCAAACCCCCACAGACTGGCTTTTAATCTTTTTTTATTTCATACTCCAGCAATTACTCTGTAAAAGAACCAGAGTCCTGTTATGAAGGCCCACTTTGTCCTAGAATAATATTGAAAAGTTTTTCAAATTTATTCTTTATTAGAGGGTGTGTCACTACATGCCTCACCAATGGCAAGTGTCGGGTGGTAGTTAATTAATCAGATTCCCAAAAAAGCCAGCAATGTGATGTACTCTATGACCAGGACTGTTGAGCTTTATGGAATTAAAATGTTGCTGAATCCCACCTGACCTCGGACAACGTAATTCCTTTTACGGATGAGGTTGGCAGCAAAAGATGCCAGTCAGGTTTTAATATGAAAAGCTACAGGTATGGTGGCAGCTGTTAAATTCACCGTAGCACTGTGATGTAGAACGCAAACGGCAAAACCACAGCATTGTTTTTTCCAAATACATTTGTCACAGTTAGAAATGGAAAAACGGTCTCATTCATTATCAGGCTCTAGCTATCCAAAAGGTTTTAGGAATCGACAGGCTTAAAGTTAGATTAGGAACTTGGCATGTGCAAATTATGTATGAGTCAGGAAGAAACCACAATATAGTAGAACTACTAAATCTGCAGGATCAGTACCTGCAGCTTCTCTTACCCACTGCCCAAAAATATTAAATTAAAAAGCTCAAAAATCCGTACGCATTTCCAAAGTGTGCTACCAGAACTGGCC